GATAACAAGTGAGCTGAAGATGAAGTTTTCTCTTTAGGCCAGAATCGCAGGCTGAAGATGAGGCTGCCGGTGCTGCGATCCATGCGACGACCTTCACTCTCAAAAGATCAGTTTGAAGGAGTGGTAGTAGACTACCTGCAGGTGAATAACACGTGCATGCAGTGCAGTCCATTTGCATGAATGCATGCTTTGCATTTTGCTGGAGTACATAAACACATCTGGCAGTGGAAAAAAAATCTGTACAAAGATAATACGTCACACTGTGACTCCTAGGCATGACATTTGCAATGATACAATTTTAAAACTTACTGACATATTATGCCTGCAATGCCTCTACTGTTCTTCAATCATGCATGAAAAGCACTAATCAAAATGTTCTACACACTATAGTAACAACAAAGTCTTTGATTTGCCTTTCAAGTGCTGTATAAACAATTTTAGTTTTATATGCAGTTCTAATAGTTAAATACGAACCACCTTAAATAGCAGAGAGATGTTTTTGAAGCAGAAGTTCTTGTTTCTCAGCCCAAAAAGACACCAAATGGAAGAATGAGGAGGAAAAGCAACTGGTCTGTTCACCTTTCTCTTCTTAGAATTTTCCTTTACTTGTGTTTAGAGTTCTCTCTTTTGATGAATGGCACCTTGTATGAAAGTATTTCCTGCCAGTATCCTTACCTGACACTGGAACTGTACTGAATCAGATAAATTGACATGTTGGGACTGTTTTACATTTACGTGCTGGCAGGGAGGTGACATTCCTCTCTGTTTCAGAACAGCATTTGTGAAGTGTGAAATATGACAACTTTTTAAAGAAAACATTTAGAAGAGAAAAAAAGCATTTCAAGCCAAAAACCAGCAGATATGGTGTGTAATTATTTGTTTGAACTATAAAGAGACGCATGGCCTTCATTTCCATAATATTCAAAGTAGCTTGTGCCTTATTGCCCTTCCTTGACAGCCAAACAGCGAGGAAGTCCCTCTGAAAGAGTTTCGGATCCCATCTAAGGAAAGCTGTATGCAGTCTGAGACGGAGGCTCTGATAGAACAGGACATGGATCCCCCATCGCCGGCAGCTCAGCCCTCCACCAAACGACGCTCCCTTCTGACAGATCGACTGGACCCCATGCATCCCTTCCCCCGAGGGACATTACCTCGAAGTTGCTCGAGGGACAGTGTTCGGAGCCTCCGACGTGCCTCGTCACTGGATGACATCGATGGCATGAGGGCAGAATGGCCTGGAGACCCCCGGACTAACAGCAGTGAGTGTCTGATGGGGCATCTCAAAGGGAAACTAAAGCTGTGAATAAAATATAGAATTAGTACGAGTATCATCAGGTTATCGTTGCTGTATTTGTGTCTCAAAGAAACTATGAAGTCTTCACAATGCATATTTTTTTATGATGTTAGTGGAATTTAATGTGTGTTTAACTTTTTTTCAGGTTAACCTTCTGACAGGAATATAAAGCAGCATCCTAATAAATTAAATCACACAAAGCACTTTTCACAGCTGGTTTCTCTGACTCTGACTCAGAAAATGACACAGAATTCAGTTCAAAATTTTTTCTTCATTAGCCTTTTATTCTGTTAAAAAACAACCTGCTTTGAGACATAAATTTGCCTTTGTTGTTATTGCCACTTTGGTTTGCATACAAACAAACACTTTCACTGTGAGATCTGCTGGAAGGTTTGCTGGTATTAAAGGGATCTCTAACAGGTCATGTCTATTATTTGCTATTTTAGGACACAGTAGGATCTCAGACGTGAAACAAGCTTGCAGTGGTGGCAAACATGTTGACAGATGAGGTCAGGCAGGATGTTCACAGATGACATTGTGATCTGTAGAAAAAGTAATGGCGGGAGAAGCAAGACAGAATACATGTGTGCGAATAAGAGGGAGACAGATGTACCAGTGAAGATGCAAAGAGCAAATGAGTTTAAATACATGGGGTAAACATCCAAAGCAGCAGACAGTGGACAAGAGAGTAGAAGAAGAGAGAGCAGGCAGGGTGGAGCAGGTGGAGAAAATAGTCAAAGGTGATTTGTGACAGAGGATGTTAGCAAGGTTCACGCGATGGTTGTGAGAAATGCTGTGATGTGTGGTTTGAAGATGGTGATACTAACAACAGACGTTAAGAATTT